ATTATCATTGTTACTGTGTGTTATTTCACTATGTATGCCAACACAAACAACAGAGTTTTTAAATGGCTTAACCACGCAACAAACTAAAAACATGTTAGTTTAAGCAACAACAATAAACTTCCATCAATTTACTCTCTTGGTCAAATGGTCCAAACTACCCCAGCTTTCTTCCATATTCCTTTTTACTTTTGATACTCATGGGGTTCTTATCGTGGTTTTTCAATTCTCCCTGCATGAAACAAACCTCTATCTCATTTATCCAATTCAGTTTCTTAAATATGCACATAGCCCTGAATCCCCAAATACAGCGACAGATGATGTCCCTTAAAAAAGAAGGATATTAAGAGAAAAATCTATTATAGATTTTTTCAAATATATAATTTAAAGGGAAAAAACCCTAAACTGAAACAATGTTACTTTTGTAGAGTTAAGGCCATACTAAAGGAAATTTAAATATTACAGCAGGGTGAGATACGGGCCAATGATACGGTTATTCCACTTTCTTGGTTCTAGATTTACTGCTGACCTGTCTCATTTGAATACCCCAGAGCTCAGACTATCCCTTGCTGTTGCGTTTTACTCTCTTTGACAAAGTGGGTCAGGGGCTACATTAGAGGAATAGCTGCTTCTTCAATTTTCTAAAGGGCTATGGAACCAGGACTAAACAAGTAATCTTAGGATAGCTGACTGTGTAGATTAAATCTCACTGAACTGGGTGGGTGGGAGTTGGGGAGCAGAAGGGGGAGGAGGACAGAGAGGCGGGAGGTGGTGACAGGGACAGGGACAGGTGGCGCGTAGTTGGGTGACTTGGGCATGGGAGTGGGTGGGGAGCTGGGGAGCTGTACACCTCTTCCTGAAATGACTGCTTCTCCAGAGGGCTTAGCAATTTGTCTATGAATCTCAGGCTCCCCAGCACAAAAGAAGCTTTCTTTTATGCAAAGGAGGCGAGCAGTACAAAGCGCAAGCACATAAACTATAGGAGAGAGGAAAGGTAGATCCCAAGTAAAATTCTACACTTTCCATTCAGCACGTGGGGAGTTGGGGTAGCAAAGGTACGGGGGGGGGGGCGCTTCTTTTACATAGAGAATTTTATCTTTTTGTGATGGTGGTGGTGGTTGTTAATAGGACTCTTCATCTTAAATAATGCTCCTCTCCAGACAATTTCATCTTCCCATCAATGGGATTCAGCGGGTAGTCCGATAAAGAGATACAGGAGTCTAAACTTCCTGAAACAACAACAGATGTAATACTGCATAACTGCAGGAGACTCATTTAGTGTCCTCACGAGAACAGAAAATTGAAGCAGAATTAGGTCACTCAGGTTTTTCATACAGATTGAACAGTAAATCAAGAGGGGTTACGGTTCTGGCAAGAAAAAGAGTTCCATTAAAGGCGACAGATATTTGTTCAGGTCCAGAGGAGAAGTTTATGATTCCTGTAGGAGAGTTATTTGAACAGAAAATGACACCGGTACATTTTGTTCCTTCAAGGAGCTGAGTGACACTTTTAAAAGAGAGAGAGGGAGGCTGACTTTTGGTAACTCTGCTGATAAAGCAGCGCTCGGTAATTTTTGAGAAGGAATTTTCAGGGTTGTAACGGAGCCGAGGGCAGGACAAAAAACACAGGAAGCGGACTATGCTATGCTTGCTTCCTGAAGCAAGGAGGCTAAACTACTGTTTTCACACTAAACTCTGACTTGCTACCAGAGGGCTCACCTAAGTCAAAGACGCTCTTCTCAAATAAACGCCTTTGGATAGGAAATATATTTATTTCTCATGCAAACATGTGTAGAATTAATTTACATGCTAACGTGATAATTCCTAGAGCACTTCTGACCAACCCTCCGACTTCAGATGGAAGAACTGAAGCGTTACGTGTACCGACAGGGCAAAGAATGTGTGCCTCGGCACCAAAACACTGCGTGCGCACGCGCACCTGCACACACGCACACACAGGTACTGACACTCACTACAGAGAAAAGTCAAGTTCCGTCAGAAGGAAAAGATGGCCTACAGGAAAGGATGCAATTTAAATGAGAACAAAATGTTTTTAACCGAAGAGTGGGTGCACATCTGAGGCAAAGCGTTCATATTGCAGAAATGTATTTATGCTACTACTAAATAAAGGTCAATTTGTCAAAATTCTGGTTTTATGAAGAAAAGGTGACTTAAAAGTAAAAATAAGTAAGATTCTGACAATTTCCTTTCAATTTTCATAGGAAAAGGAAATTAGACTACAACAGTCAAGGGAACGAACATGTGTGAAAGAATTTCTGACAGGTGATTTTTGCTCAAACCAAGTTGATGCTATTATAAAGAGATTTTTTTTAAAGACCTTGCTCAAAATCCTCGATCAAGACAGACAGATACACTGGACCCTTCCAGTTAACAGTGCTAAAGGTTAGTAAGCCAGCCTCTCAAAGAGGGGCAAGAAGGAAGAGAGTTTTTTAACTGTCTTTTACAAATGCCTAAAGGCCTTCATCTAACCCTTTTTAAGGGATACATTTAACTAATCTCTGTGGTTGGACAATGTATCTTCATATAGGCAGAAGTTAGCCATTGCACTATAACTGAAGAAGATAAGAAGGCCCATGCAAAACCCTGCCAGGGCAAGCTTAAGCTTCTTCCAAAGACAGCCATGAGAAAACTCAGGCCAAAAGACCCACCAGCTTTTTGGACCCAGAGTTGCCAGATCAATCACTTCAGAAGCCAGGCAGCTTTACAAAAGAGGAGACATTTATCAAGTAATAATAATATGAAGAAGAGCCATTCCACCACACTCTGCGATGCTTGTAACTGAAAAGATACAGACATTCATTTTTTTTAATTGATACAGGTGTGGAGTACAAAAGCTTTGCACTGGAACAGGCTAAATAGTACTACTTTGCACTATCTACTTTGGGAGACCAGCTATGAAGATCATTTTCCAAAAGGGGGCTAAAATGAGCTCATTACAAGAAAGGCCTGCAAATAAAATTCTGATCAAAATGGTAAAATTTAGGAGTCAGTAAGACACACAAACACACACACAATGCAATACAGGCTTAAAAAAGAAAAAAAATTCAGATGTATTTCTAGACATAGAGAAGGTCTACATTATGAGGGTAGTTCACTGATTTAACAAATGGACTGGTAACTGTGTACCTTTAAGGCAGGAAAAAAATGTTAGCTCTTAGGAAGTCAGAATTTTTAGAGTAACCAGGTGATACCCACCCCTCTGTCCCATTTATTGTCTTTTAAAAAAATCCTCCTGACTTTTTTATTCAATAGCAACATAAAGGACTGTATATGAATAGATTTTTTTTGTCCTAAATGAGTACCTAGGGCTAATATTTGACTTCATACCACACAGCAATTATTCCCCCAAAAGAATCTGCCTATCAACACTGAAATATCAATTGATGATGGGTATCGAGCTCTCCAGGGATACATGAAAAGCTGGCAACAGCAACATAAAAGCTCTTAATTGAGGATTAGTAATAGCAGTGAGAGTCAAGTTATATTCTTCATCCAAAAAGCTACACACACTTAATGGTAAGTTACTGTGATTTCTTTCAGAGTATTTCTCAAAGCTGATAACTTAGTATTTTAATATAATAACAGATGAGTCATGTGTTTTCCAAGATTAAGGTAATTTTTGTAAAGGGTTCCTAGACATTCTTTACTAACATTCCCTATAATTTTTAACCTCTAATTTTCTTTTAAATTAAATCATACTTTGGAAATAATAATAATCACTAATGCGTATTGGAAGTCTTTGTATCATGTTCTTTTCCCCCTATAAGAGCCACTATAATACCTTCTTTTAACATATGAGGAAACTGAGTCACAGAAACAGAAAAAAGAGTTAACTGGAGGAAGACAACAGAGCTAGTTAGCGGTAGAGCCTGCTTACTGGCTAACTCTCGAAACCTCGGTCTTAGCTCTGTTTCATCCTGACTCGGTTCTTACCGGACTCTCCTTTTGGTTGACGTTAACCACTTACACCAGGTATCTGCTGACTACGGCCAGCAGGCCAGACCCCGCCTGCAGCCTGTTCTCACAGTTTCCCTGGAACACAGCCAGCCCACTATCCTCTGTGCCTGCGCTCACATTGGGAGGGCAGAGCTGAGTAGTTATGACAGAGACTCTGTGGCCCTTTACAGAAAAGGTTTGCTAATCCCCGACTTAGATAAATGTGCCTAATCAGGTGCAAATGAACGTTTCTGGAGTAAGAGTTTAAATAAGGACCCCATATGAAGACACTCACATAGGGCCTACTCCAAAAGTTGGACCAAGCCACAGACCAACAAATGTATGAACTAACAAGTCAAAGAATACGTTATACAGTATCATGAGATGTGTTGTTCCTGAAGGTCAGGCCAACAGATGTGCTCAACATCTGAGCCACTCAAAGTCACCAGTCAGGGACAAATGGACAAACCAGGACAAAACACTGTATAATCTCAGTGCTGGATGCCTGCTTTCTTGCATCTCTAGGAACTCTGGGCTGGGCTTTTGATCTTGGCATGCTATAGGGGTGGATAAAACTTTTCTGACTGAATAAGTGAAAGTTACAGTCCTGCCAACCTGGAACCCCCCAGAGGGTCCTCATTCCTCAACCCAGTGGCAAACAAACTCTTTCCTGTGACTTGGTTCTAAAACCATCCTCAAGCCTGAGTATTCTGCCTCTGCAATTCTCCTGAGGCCTTTCCCTGGTCCCATAGAAAAGAATGACCGCACCACCAGGAGACACGGGACCCCCGAAGCTTGGTGGTGCCTGCAAGGGCATGGCAGCGTGACCTGCCCATCCCCACCGCGGGGCGGGGTGCGTTACCTATACTCCCGCTCCTGCAGGATCTCCACGGGGTCCAGGCCTTGCGGTTTCTGAATGGGGCTGATGCGGCTCTGCTTCTGCTGCAGCTGCAGGATGGGCGAGGGCTGCCCCGGGGCCGGCTGCGGCACGGAGGGTCCTGGCACGGCGGCCGCAGGGGGCGGTGCT